CGTGTCCGTTAGGTCAGCGATACCTGGCAGACACGTGGATTCTTATTTTTCAAAAAGAAAATAATTTTCAATTTTAATTTTTTTAAAATTATTAATTTTTACAAAAAAAGACAAAATAAATAAATAAATTTTTTTTAAAAATTAAAAAAAATAAATAAAAATCCATGTGTACGCTGGTTTCACTAACCTGATGGACACGTGTCATCCGACAAGCCACATAAGCATATCCGGCGCTAGAGGACTAAAATTGCGAAAAATTTCCACTTACTAGACTAGTTTGCGATATGCTCCAGTTACGGGACTAGAGTTATAAAGAAGTCTAGTTACATGACAAAAAAATCAGTTTACCCTAAATTTAAGATTTTGCACGTGATTTTAACAAGTGTAATATGATTTTTGAAGATGTTTATTTTTTTTTTTTATAATTAAATGGAACAATATGCTTGAACAATATAATCTTTAAAATAATAATTGGTTGAAAAGATTATTCGGTAAAAAGGAAAAATGAGTCTTGGTTTATGATCGTCAATATTTTAGTGCTAATATCACTACGATACAAAGAAGAGCATGAACAATATTATTAAAAGGTACATCAATTACAAGAACAGTTTACATCAATTTTTTGAATACTTTTAAAATTTGATTGATGATCGTCGTTACAAATAATTAAAAATTGAATTTAAAGCAAATACAAATACTCATGCATCAGTTTTTCTACTTAATTATTAAAAAATACATCAAATATTTATACATTGGAACTATTTAAATGGTTTCAAAAGGAATTGTGCAATTCTTATGATTTTTTTTTTTTTTTTTTATGTTTTTAGACGATTGAAGTCGTTTCAATTTATCATGATACATCTTTTCGAAAAATAAATATCATAGTGTCACTTATGACTCTTTGAATGGCACGATACATAGTAGAAAGAATTTGAATTTTGTGAAATATTATGTTCTCATGCTTTGAAGATTTTTAGTATACATAATGTTGTTAAGATTCACATTAGGTGATGGGAGAAAAAAAAATGAAGATTGGAGATTTTCATAATACAACGATATATGACAATATGAATTATTTGGATTCTAAAGTACTGTAAAAAAATATAATACATAAATTTGTGTAATATTTCTAATCAACTTCTTACTAGAGAAGTTAGAACAAAAGAAACATATGAAATGGTAAAAAATAGTCTTAAGGAAATATATGAAAAATTAATGAAAAGTTGCACATTATAAAAACTATTTAAAAAAATAATAATTTCAAAAAAGATATTTAAAAGTGGACTAAAAAAAACTTTGGGGAAAAAAGAAAAAGTTATATGTCCGAGCCTCAGATGCAACTGAAGATGTGTTAATTTTTGACATTTCGATTTCTATACAACTATATATTATATGTTTTCTATATTTTATTGTATTATTTTTTAAAAAAATTCCAATTGCATCAAGTTAGTTTACACTATATTTGAGTATTTATATTTTTAATACTTTAATTTTTATTATATTGTTTTTTACATAAAATATCAAGGTTTTGTGCAAAATTAAATGAATTCATTTTTACCATTTGATTTTTCCGGCGAGCTACAAAATCCTATGAAATTCACGGAATTGGTTTACGTATTTATCTTTATTAATTTTTTTTGTATATTATTTGTCATCAAAATAAAATAAATTATATTGACTTGTTTATTTTTATATATCTTCAAGTTCAAACTAATCACAAGGCAAATCAACGGAATATTGAAGGTTATACATCCTCTAAATGACAAGTTATTTTGTCTATATTTTGATTGTAAAATTAAAACATAAGAATTCTTCTTTTCAAAACTGTAAACAACAATCTAAAGTATCCGTCAATATAATATTAATAATTTTTGAATTTGAAAATCAATTGTTGTTTGTTAAGAAGAATACTTACTCCATTCAGCTCTAACATTTAGATTTATTTTTTGCATGCGGATTAAAAGATATTAGTTTTTAATAGTAGTTGATAGATATAATAGTATAAAGACCAAATTACTCTTACTTTTATATATAAATGTATAATAAAGTGATTGTAAGATGGTAAATAAGTGTAAAAAGAAAAAAATATTAGGGCATCCACAACGGGAGACGCTTGTTGAGAAGCGCCTCCCACGTCATCATTTATTAAATAAAAAAAAAATTAAAACACCAATTAACATAAGGAACGGTACATTGCGAGTGTACCGTTTCTTCCAATTTTTGTGGGCCATGGTCCACTTTTTTATTCAATAAATATTAAAAATAATATTTATAATATATACTTTTTTATTTATATTTATAATAATTTGTTTTATTAAAATATTAGATTTAAATTTTATTATATGAGTTTTATTTAATATTTATTTTTTTATTAAAATAATATTGTTAATAACTATAATTTTTAATATAATATTTTTATATTTTATGTAACTTTTTAATGCATATTTTTGTAAAATATTTAATTAAATATCTATTAATTCAATTATAACATTTGTTTAATTAAAATTACATGCAATACAAATAATAAATAAAAATACATAAAAATATTCATAAATTTAAAATTAAATTTACATGACTTAATTAAATTATACACACTACAAATATTAATTGAAAATACATTAATGTACTTGATCGATCTCCGGTATTTAACGACGTTTTGAATGGTAGAGCTCCAGAGGTTAATTTTGTTATCAACAACCATCAATATAATATGGGATATTATCTTACTGATGGAATTTACCCTCCGTGGGCAACCTTTGTTCAATCGATTCGTCTCCCTCAAGGTTATAAAGCACAATTATTTGCGCAACATCAAGAAGCGGTTCGAAAAGATGTGGAACGTGCTTTTGGTGTATTACAAGCTCGGTTTGCCTTCATTAAAACTCCATCACTTATTTGGGATATTAATTTACTAGGTAAAATAATGAGAGCATGCATCATATTACATAATATGATTGTAGAAGATGAAAGGGACACTTATGTGCATTATTACGATACATCTCAATATGATCAAGTGGAGACAAATGATAACTCGAATTGGTCATACAACAACACGAGACATGCAACTATGGATCAATACCTACGGAACAGAATGCGACTCCGAGCTAGAGAAACACACCACCAGCTCAAAGCGGATTTAGTTGAACACATTTGGGAGAAATTTGGTCAATCGACTAATTAATTTATTTGAAAAATATATTGTAATATTATGTATTTTTTATTAAATTTAAGTTTGAATTTTTAATTAGTATGTGGGTGTGGAATTATTATTTTTATTTATTTTATTTATTTATGCTAAATAATTATTTTATTTTAATTAAATATTATAAGAATAAAATATAATGAAAAAATATAAGTTTATTTTATAAATAGATAAAATATTTAATGAGGTGGAAAAAGTAAAGATTTTAAGGGATTCTTTGATGTGAATGTAAAATATAGTTGGAGTTCTTCGTGACATGGCGGAGAGAGAAACTGACGTGGCACAGGAGAGAGAATGGGAAGAAACCTTGGACGGGTTTCTGTGTTGTGGATGGCCTTAATAGTCAGTGATAAGATCCACAATTACTAAAAAGTAAAATACAAACCTTTAAATTGTCTAAATAAAAATAAGTAAATATTATAAGTGAACAGAGGAAGTAATATATATCTTGATGATAATATCTAAATTGTTATATTTTAACCATAGTATTTTATATGGTTTATTGGTTATGGTAAAATGTTATTGGAGTTGTGTTCGCCATTATGAATTCCCTATATACAATATGTAAGTGTAATTTGAGTTTCAATAAAATAAAAAAAATAAAAAAAAAAAAAAAAATTGACATGATTGTGCAGTGTTGAAAAAGGAAGTTTGGGATAAACAAAATATATGATTTATGGATAGATGTATCGCACTTACATTAATTAGAGAGACAATGCCGTAATCCAACAATATGACATAAAGTAGTATACAATTAAGTGAGATGATATAATCCAAAGTGAAGTAAAAAAAGATCATCCAATCAAATTCAATAAAAATAACATATTAAGGGCAATCAAGCCAAACTAATGATAACAATTAAGCAATACAACATTCCTCTTCAACTTAAGCAATACAACAAGTACTAAATATATTTTTAGACCAAGAACTTCTAAGATCCTGACATAATTGCCAAATCATAAAAAAAGAAAACAAGGAAAAAAAAAATGGGATTTCCAAGAATAGAAAAAGAATCGTTCTTGGTCTTCTCTCTGCTTCATGAGGAGAGAGAGAAAAAGATATGTTATTTTTTTCCTTTATATATTATATTTAATATAATTTAGTGTATAATTATAATTTTTTTTTTTCATGAAGTTAATAATATAGAATTTAATATTAATTATTAAATTATTCATTAATTATTGTTTAAAATAATTTCTATTTTATTAAAAATAATATTAGAATTTAATAAAAATAAATGCATAAAAAAACTTATACTAATTTTAAATTTTACAATATTACATTCCTTAGATGACTAAAGAAATCTAACGCGCTATTCATTTTTAAAAAAACATCACATTAAATACGGTTTTTCTTTCACAAACATCAAATCAAATACTACCTCCGTCCCATTGAAAGATTACTATTTTCCATTTTCGTTCGTCCCAAAACAAGGTTACATTTTCAACTTACAATATATTACACAAATGCTATTACTTTTATATTACACCATACTAATAAGAGTATTTTTGTCTTTTTTATACTACAATCCAATATAATACTAATATTAAAAAATCTACGTGCAAAAAGCAAACTCCACCCTTGTTGCGGGACGGAGGGAGTACTAAATTTTTACTTTTTTTCAAACTTTCAAATTTTCAAAAACCTCCAAAAATCCCTATCTAAACAAATCCTAAATCTCTCACGGTGTTCTTTCCGCACAATTTTAATTGATTAATTTTGATAGAAATTATTTTAACTGAAAACAAATGATAAAATACAACAAATAATACCATATGTAGAGTCCAGCACAAGTGTCTGAACGAAAAGAGGGAATAAGAAAAGGCAATTTATCTTTCAGCCCTTTCCGGGGGCGACACAGGCTTTAAAGGGAGTTTATTTTGCGAATTATCTCCGATTCAACGACATATTATGTACAGATCAGTTTGAAAATCAGTCATATAGTTTCGACAGGATTATGAAGAAAATACCTGTAGAGAAATGGGGGCGATACATTATTGCCTGCCTCGGCTACGAGCTAATTCGCGTGCCATCTCCCTCAGTTCCTCAGGTGATTGAGGTCGTGGCCCTTCAGGTGGATACACCACGTATTGTCGCTTCATAAAAACAAATCAAATTATCAACAACTATATACATATATGGTATGGTCCATAGGCGACTCACAATCATTCAATTCATAGTTTTGAACAGATCATTTACAAGATGAAGGAAATATTAGATGTCGACTGTAGGTGTGAAATTCGAAATTCAAAACACAACGATACAAAGCAAATTTCAGTTGCAAGCATAGTTTAATAAGTTTGATTCGTCATTTCATCTTTTTTTAAGTTCATTCATGATATAACATCTTATTTAAACCAAAAATTATACTATAAAAACTCCAAAAAGAAAATCACTAAGTATACGCACCTCCAGTTTCACATAAAATCAACTTCATTCAGTTACAAAATTCAAACACATCTAAATATTGAGTTTGAACAGTTGTCGCTAACATTCATTTATAATAATGCTATGCTATCGCTTAAAGGCATTGTTTCAATTTCTACTAGAAGAAACATTTTTCCGTGCTCAGAATCATGATTATTTTGGTTAAACAAGATTTGAAAGTCTTTAATCTGACTCAATCCTTTATCAAGTTAAGCTCAACCTTGAATCAATATTTATACACATTTTTGAGCCATACAAAAATTATACAATACAAAAAAAAAGGAAGGAAAACCTTAATGAGTCTTATCAAACTGATGCGACTCATCTCGAATACTAGTGCATTTTTTTGTATACAATTACTAAATATTTAATATAATTAATGACTCGGGATAGAGCGTTATTGAGCCAAATGGAACTTCCATGGAGCTCAATCTGTTAACCAACCCCCAAAAAAATTCATGTTTGTTTGACGAATAAAATTGAAGGGTGTTTGGTTTTGGTTGTTTCGCTATTATCAAATTTTTCTCCCCCAAAACTATCAAATCTAACATCTGATTTTCTTTTAAAATATACTCCCTCCGACCATTAAAATTAGCATAATTTTGTCCGGCACGAAGATTAAGAAAAATAAATATTTTATTGAAAAAATAATAGATAATTGAGGGTATTTTTGAAAATTTAATTAGAAATTAAAGTAAATGAAGAGAGAGAAGGTAACAAAGTTAGCAATAGTTTTTGTAAACAAGTGTTGAATGGAGAGTAATAATTAAATGTTGATTTGTTTACTTTGCCAAAATTAGTAATGAGATAAATTTAGCTTGACACACTAAAAAAAAGAAAAGTAAGAATAAATTTGGCGGAGGAAGTATTAAACAAGAAATAAAATTTTCATTCAAAACATCAACTCAAATATCTATTTATATCACATGAGACTATCTCAATTCAAATTTTTACAGCATAACATACCCCAAACCCAAATACAAACACCCTAACAAATTCCACCTCCTTCGTACTGGAAACTTTTACACACACTTATACAAGATGAGGTTTTTTCATTTATTTCTCCGCCATACTACATCATAATTTAGAAATTGGTTAAGCTCCCTTGTGTTTTAGAATTCATTCTAAAGAATTGCTTAGATATTGCACAGAAACCTCTAAAAAATGAAAAATTTCGCAATATTTTTTAAAATCAGACAGAATGTCGTGCAGTTCTCAAAGTGAATGAGAAACAAAGGAGCAAATGAAATCATGATCAAATCAAACAATGAAGTTCAACTCTAATTCCAGAATAATCTAAGCCCACATATTTCACATTCAAAGGTTTGCCCTAATAATCCGAACCACGAAATCAATTCGCACATTGTTTAATGAAACCCTAGCCTCAAATCAAGCAGAATAACAATCTGCCCTAAAACCTGAGCGAATCCACCTACTATTCCACTGATCAATATTGACGTATTCCATTTCAATCATCCTTTAACAAACGCCGAACATTCAACCTCAAAAATCGAACGCTTCGATTTCGGATTGATACTCGTATCGAACACGAAAAATAAAAATTCTTCACATAAGCACAAAAGGTAAGCAGGTGTAAAAGCAACAATACTGAAAAAAAAACACAACAAATTCTTACATTTCCCATCACTTTCTGGAGATTTTTGGTGTTGCTGGCGAAGAAATACATCAGTCCAATCGGAACAGTGACATACACTGCAAATTTCGCAATTTCCAAAATTCCTTTCGATGTGCCCAACGACGACATCTCTTCGATGCTTGCTTTACCCTTCGGCAGCGGAACTTTTAGAGAGATCTGCAGATGTTGGTGAGCGCAGTGAAGAACTGAGGGACCGCCTGAAGTGAAGAAGAAACAAATGGATGGGAAGTTCGATACGTGTGTAGCTTTTGGATTATGCATATTTTGTGGGCTTATTTAAATATTAAAACTGGGCTCGATTTTAATTAGTAAAAAATTTAGGCCCAATATTAATTTGTCTAAAATTTACCTGTAACTCAGCCCAATAGGAAGTTTAAATAATAATAATAATAATAATAAAATAAAAAATCACTAACTAATCAGAGGTGGTCACAATTGGTTATGTGCAAATATCCACATATTTGATAGGAAAAATAATCGCAAACTGTATCCAACGAAAAATTCGAATAAATTTTTTATTTACAATACATTAAGAAATAATTAAAATTCTAACTAAAAAAAATAAAAAATATTTGCAAATATTTCAAATAATCGAAACCGAATTGAATATAAATTTTAAAGTATAAATATATAAATATATTCGGTTTGGTTCGGTTAACTAAATCGAAAAAAGTACAAAAAAATCAAAACCGAACAGCTATCAAATATACAGTATTTGTATACGAACCAAATTTGTTCAATTAACCGAAAATTCGATTTCGATTCCGCAATTCGAATAGGTTCGGTTTTTTCAACCACCCCTATTATATTACAAGCTAAGAGCAGCAACATTAACTCTCGAAACGACGTCTCAAAAATGTCTCCTTTCCTTCGAATAAAAATCAGCCTGTATTTGTTATATTTGATTCGACTCAGACGGTGAGGACAAATGAAACGTCTCTAAATTTGAGTGATGGAGGGAATATTTGATTCGACGAATTTGACATAATTCTAAAGCTATTAAATATATATCTGCTTAAATACAACAGCCGAGCTATCGGCACAATCTGTTAAGTCAAACACAGCTTTACATAAAACTAATGAAGCTAAGTAGTACAACTTCCTTACATGCCCCAAATACCGCGAGCAGATGCTACTTTGTTGCCCGGTCGGGAAGTCAGTTCATGTAATATCCGGGCGAAAGTATCGGCGTACCTTGTGTCCGAGAATAACATGTCCGCAAACACATTCTCGTAGGCTAACAATAGGGGCTTGTTCTGTGGCTCCGACACGAGATTCTCCAAAATCAGCGCCGCTTTCCTACAAACTTCTGGCACTGGATGCGGGGCTTTAATCACCTTTAACAACCTATCAATTGCCCTGATAAAATTAAAAAACAAAAAAAAAAAAAAAGCATTATCGATGCAAGTAAGGCTCAAGATTTTGTTGCTTGGAAAAAAAAAAAAAACTTTAACTTACCATCTCTCGCTAGCGAGTTTTAATCGACAATCCATGTTAACCTCTACTAAGTTGTATAATGCGCCGATTGCTGCGGCTTGAACATCGCCGGCTGGATAGCTCATAATATCAATAAGCCGTTTGAACATCTGCAATTCGAATCGACCCGTTGGCGAGAAATAATTTCATGAGTTATAGAGGTAAAATTTTAAGAAAACTACCAAAAGGCATAATTATTTATTCAAACATTTTGTGTCTCCCATAGATCTTCCAAGTTATCCTAATTATACACATAATACCATATAAGGGTAGAAATAGACCTGCGGAACGAATGGCAGAAGGAAAGGCTCGTTATCAGGGTTAAGGATCAAGCGACCAAGCAGATCCGCAGCTGCACAATGCCAGCTTCGGACAGCAGATCCCAGAATTCCCATGATGGCTTGCACAACACGTTTCTCTCTGAAACAGTGATTAAAATCGAAATTGGATGTTAGATCGAAATTTCCAGTAATATAATGGAGAAAAGATTAAGCAAAGGCATTACGTGATTTTGATGTATGAAGGCTTTGATGAGCTGAATGTACGAAGATCAATCAACGGACCCAAGTTCATGATTGTCTCCAGGCAATTTGTGACGAGTTCTTCATCCTCTGTTAATATTCGAGCAATTCAGAATGTTAGTAAGGAATTATGAAAGAACGAAGAAAATTACAGGAAACTAACAGAGTATCATAATCTGCTCTCTCCGAAAATTGCCTACGCCAAACATAAATTTTAAAATATATGAGCACACAAACATAATTATTTTCGTAAATAACATCATATCTCTCTTAGAAAAGTAAGAAAAATGAATAACAATCTAACAATTTTTCCACTATTACCTCAATAGAATTTAATACTGATCGTCACTTGTATATAGAACTATATCAACAATTAGTGTTGTGTGCGTGCACATATGTACGTACGTACATATATATCTATATATATTATTCTTTTACATCCTCAGAATTAAATACAAATGATATAATGCATCGTACACATAATTAACATATAACACAGTCCAATCAAAGATATCGGATGTATTGCAACGAAGTGTAATCCAAGTGCAATATTAAATTCTGGAGAATGTATTCAAAAAACTTTCAAACCTGTAATATAATCTTCTAAACACTGGAACATTGTTTCAAGACAATGACGATTTTGGCCCATTGCAATTTCATTCTCAGCCATAAACGAGAAGTTTCTAATAATATTTGAAGCAGCCACTGCACATTGCTGCTTTTCCGCTCGCCCTTCCTCGTCCAGATTGAAGAGGCCATCTTCCTCAAACCACCAACCAGAAGGGCGAGGCCTGGCAGCAGTCTTCTGTACAACAGAGACCTCCTTGTTCGCAAAACCAGAGCCACCACTATCACAGAAACATGACACGTCAACTTTCAATACCATCTCTAAGATACAAAATGTTCAGACATCCCGATGGCAGGGAAATTTTCATAAATATCCCTCTTCTTTTTTTAAAAACAAAAAAACAAATAGTGCAATTAACAAATCATAGAATTTGATTCATTTTTCTTTTGTTTTTCTTTTCGGAGGAGGGGGCGTGTTTTTTTGGAGTTCTTTTAATAAAAACACAGGTTTTTAACAAATTTCACAAATGGTATTGCAATTTATTCAAGGTATAAACATTGAATATATATAAAAAAAGAACTGAGACATAAACACATCCTTACTTAGGATGCAGGGTATCACTCGAAGTTAAGGACTCATATTCATTTCCAAACCCCGTAGCTACAGAATTGTTGCCCAGCAATCTCACCCTTGGCGCCTTTGTTAGAACCCTCGGCAGGGCAATATCACGCCAATCATCAATCTGCTCAAGTCATGAATACCTCACATTAAGAAAAATAAAACAAAAACACAGCAACAAATCAATAGAATCTCAACTTACAATCTGAAGTAGAGCATCGAGTAATCCAGGAATCTTGGCAAGAGGAGTTGAATCCCTTCGGACTTCATCTTTCTCCTTGAATGAAAGCAACGTGAGAGCGTTAAAAGCCCATGTCAACTCACTCTTCAGACCACTTTGAAGAGCCATTACTATCCTTTTGTTGTTCTGCTCTGGAATGGTTTCAGGAGAAGAAATAAAACAATAACTCATTTTCGAATACAAATCAAACTGGCCATTAAACCCACTGAAAAAACAGAAATACGTCCCCAAAATTGCATTTCATCACATATAACAGGAACTCTCTGCTGATACATTTTACTCTTCATAAATTATGAAAGTTGAAACATCCTCACATCCTCCAAACACAACAGAATAGTCATAATTTCCGACTACAGTTATTTTCGCAGTAAAAGTTAGATTCTACAGCAGAAACCCTCAAACCTGAGCAGATAAACCCTATCAGCGAGAAGAAATGCTTAGAATTTCACAAACTCTCATACATAAACAACATTACAACTCATACGCTCAAGGATCAATAATTCACAGATAATACGAGAGAAAATTCGTTTGTCAGCAGAGAATTACCGGCGAAAGCGGAGTAGACCTGCAGAGATGGACCGAAAAGAGTCGAAGGGGAAGCGGAATCTGAGGCGCCAGCAATCGAAGCTGTAACTGCTGCTGCGACGGCGCTGTTGCTTCCGCTGCCGATTGGGCGGCCACGCTTGGCCGTGGGAGGGGCGGAGCCGCCAACAGCTCCGCCCTGCTTGCTTTGGTCCCTCTCCCTCTTTTGCATCACTCACTGTAGACTCACAACTGAAATTATTTTCCTTTAAAAATAATAATTATAATAATAGTTGGGCTTAACTCTACTGAATTTGGGCCCAATTAATTTGGCAGGACGACCTATTGTTTATACATATACAAACATTTTTTTTTAAAAAAAAAAAATAGTCACATTGTCCAAAGAATAATTTTGTCTAAAACAAAAACATGTATTTTAGCTTTGTTTTAAAATTTTAAATTTAACATATTTATATCATAAAACTAAGGTTGTATTTTTTGAGGATTTTACTATGCAGGATTTTCTTTTATCTAAAAATATCAAATTAAATAATTATTTTTTTTATACTATAAATTTATTTTATATTCAAAACATCACATTAATATTTATTTATATCATATCAAACAAATATAAAAAATTAAAATGAAAAGGCTAATTTAAAATATTAGCATATATAACATTTCAAGAATTAATTCTTTTAAGCACAATAAATTATTTTAAAAAATTAATTTATCAAATACTAAAATTAACTAATTTATTTATTAAACGATTAAAAAAGTTGTTTGTCAATTTTTTTTTTATTTTCGTATGTCCCTTAACAATCTATCCATTTTTTTAGTAACTGTATTATCTGACTAACATTATAATTATAAATGTCCTGATATAGTACGGAAGGAGTATTAAAAAAAAAATATTACTCCTTCTGTCCCATAACAAAATATCAATTTTTCTATTTCAGTCCGTCCCATAACAAAAGTATTCATTTCCTTGTTTAGTAACTGTACTATCTATTTAACATTATAAATACTTTTATAACTTACAATATATTACACAAATACCATTATCTTTATATCACACATACTAATAAGGTTATTTTAGTCGTTTCTACTTTATTCCTATTATATCCCAATATAATACTCTCTCCGTCTCATAACAAAGTATCTATTTTTTCATTTTAGTCCGTCCCATAACAAAGTATCCATTTCCTTTTTTAATAACTGTACTATCTACCTAACATTACAAATACCCTTATAACTTACAATATATTACACAAATGACATTACCTTTATATCACACATACTGATAAGATTATTTTAGTCATTTCTACATTATTTCTGCTATATCCCAATATAATACTAATATTTCTAAAATTACATGCAAAACTTAATTTGGAGACGAAATGAGTACTAATATTTTTAAAACTACGTGCAAAAAGCAAATAGATATTTAATTTCGGGACGGAGGGAGTACTATTAAATAGTGTCAAAAGTTCTAATAGAACACATATGTACATGCCAATCTAACCACCCATCTCGACAACGGCGGAAAGCGTCGAAGCCCACGCGCGTAGGCCATTCTCGGCGTCCTTTCTCCGCACAACGTCGAGCATATCGACGGCACTCTTCGGCATCCCACATTTTAGTAGAATAACTCCGATCGACCGGAATGTCGACTCGTCCGGCCGCACCCGAGCCTCCATCATCTCCCGGAACGTTTCCGTCGCCTCCTTGTACCGTCCGTCCGACGCGTACAATCCGAGCACGTGATTATAGCTCAACACGTCCGTCATAAACCCAAGCTCCCGCATCTTTCTCGCCACCCGAAAAGCTTCGACGAACATCCCGTTCCTCTTGTACATACAGAGCATCATCGCGTAGGCGAACTCGTTCCCGCCGCCGTGCACCGTCAATTTTTCGAGAATCGCTTCCGCCTCCGAAACCATCGACCGCTCGCCGTAAAGATCGATCATGCAATTTGACGAGTAAACGTCGAGACCTGTCTCGAGCAAGTGGAGCGCGTCGTACGCCTCCCGTGCTTCGGTTAAGTACCCGACTTTCGTGTAGAGCTTGATCAACGACTTGCATATAACGGCGTTCCTCGCCAAGCCGTGGCTCGTCATGGCGTTTACGTAGTGCATCGCTTCTTCGACGTTCCCCGTATCGGCGAACGCATTTATTAAAACGCCGTAGACGACGATATCGGGCTTCACACTGTTACGAATCATCTCGTTGTATAATCCGACCGCCTCGTCGATATCGCCGATCTTCACGTAACTTGAGATGACAGCGCAATACGGAACACAATCGTCGACCAATCCCGACTCCTGCATTCGCCGTAGGTAAAACAATGCGTTGCTCGGAAGGTCCGCGCCGGCGAGCATTTGTACGAGGGAATTGTAGCCGCATCTATCAGGCGATAAACCATGCTTCTCCATGCTATCGAACAAGCCGCACGCCTGCTCGAATTTCTTCCCGACACCGTAAGCTTTGATCATCACGTTAAACTCGACGACCGTGAAGTTTCCCGATTCCAAACACGACTCGAAAACTTTCTCCGCTTCGAAAACGTACCCTCTTTCCCCAAAAGCGTCGACATTCGCGGAATAGCAATCGGGCGTCATACCCCCTCGACGATGAAATCGCTCGAACCATGACAACGCCGTTTCCAACATTCCGGCTTCTATATACATTCTCGTCAGAGACGATTGCGTGAACTCGTCGATCGCCATTCCCTTCGTTTCAATCTCCGAAATCAGCTCCTCGGCTTCGGCAACCATTTGCCTAATCGAAAAAGCGTACAAGAGCGTTCGATAAGTTACGACGTCGGGTTCGAGCGATAATTCCTTCATTTCCGCCAAGTATCGAGCCGCCGTTTCTATATTATCGTGCTTTGCGTGTAGCGATATGAGAATATTGTACGTTCGGGTATCGGGGGCGCATTTCGCCGCCTTCATTCTTTCCATCAACGACGCGACTTTATCCAACTCTCCATTATTACCGTACATATGTATCATCGTATTGAACGTCACCGTCGTGGGCGATACGCCGCTTCGAACCATTCTTTCGAACGTTTCGCTCGCCTGCAACACCTTCCCGCCTTTCCCGTACGTGTCGATCAACGTATTATACGTATAAGCGCTGAGACAAAAACCATCGATCGAAGCGGCATTACGGCCTTCTCTAACGGCCCCAATACGCCAATTCTTGAAAAACTCTTCGGCCATTTCGAAATTCCCGGCCGTCTTGTACATTTGAACTATGATCCCCATAGTCACCTCGTCCGGCTCCATTTCCGATCGATTCATCAAGTTTAAACACTCCATCGCCTTCTCCGGCAAACCTCCTTTGCTATAGGAGTCGATCAATGTACCGTAGGTCGAATTGATCGGTTCGATCCCTTTCTTCACCATCTCGCCGCAGAATCTCTCCAACTCCGGCCATTGCCGAGCTCTTCCGAGAATCCTCAGCATTATGTTGTAGTGAATAACGTTGAGTTCGTAGCATTCTTTCCCTTTGAACCACTCGAAAATTGACAGCGCCTTCTCCCAATTCCGCTGCTCCTTCAGCAGAATGCTCCTCTCCTTGTTGGTTAAGGTCATTTCCCATGGCTTCAACGCCTCGTCCAAGTCCTCCACCGTCTCCACCGCCGCCAGCATCGCCGGAATGCTCCCGCCGTATTTCAGCCATTTCGTCGAACACTTGGTGTGCACTTTTTCAACCTCACCTGCTGAATTCCTTTCGCCGATGCTTTGGAAGGTTTTTCGTGTAGATTTTTTCCCCGAACTAATTTGCGTCGCTTTCTTCCTCCTCGAATCGCTGTTCTGATAAAAATTGCAATCAGGTGCTTGCTCGAGAACGCCATTTTTGGTCGGAGAAAAACCGTTATTAATTTTTTCCGGACTTCCTAAGGGGCATCTGACAGAGTCGTCGCTTCGCTCCGAAATCCGGCGGCCGTTTGGGAAGCGGAGGACTTGCTTCTTATGGTTAGGTTTGGATTTGGGCGGTGGAGCGATTAAAACCCCAACTCTTGGAGGCGGCGTGGCTTTCGCGGAATTGAAGATGCCGATGCAATTGGAGTCGGAATGCTGGAGATTAACCAACATTCTTTTCTTTTTTTTTTCAGAAGTTGAGAGGAGGTCTAATGGCGGAAACGCAGAGATACTGATACATACAGCAGCGAGACGACACCCATTGCAAAGATGTACGTTTATAATAATATATTTTAATTTTTTAAATCTTAATTTATAATTTTTTCGATTATATAATAATTATTTTTAATAATACATGTATATTTCTTTAGTCATCAAATCCTAAAATTGTACTATTTGATCTTTATATTTCTTGAAAAAGAAAATTGGAATAAAATCAAAACAAGTTTCAATATAACTAAAAACAAATTAATTTTGTTCTGTAAGGGATGGTCTGGTGTAGAAGTTATATTTGTGACCGTCCCGATACTTCAGGTCATCTCCCACACATGATTCGCAAAGTGTGATTTTTCTTTAGGACTATCAAGTACGCACTTTCATAAGTACTCTCTCCATCCCAATAATAGTGTAGGATTACCGTAAATACAAAAATTTAGCACTGAGTATAATTATTAAATTATTAAGGCTTTGTTCTTTCAATAAAAATTTTCATTATATTTTTCTAAAAAAATTAATATATTAGACATATTTTTTATTTTTATATTATCTGTACATATTTTCCATATTTCATATAAAAATATCCAAATATAAAACAAACACACCTAAGAATATATTAGTAAAATTATATACAACATAATATAAATAACTATTATTGATGTAATTTTTCAACAAAAATAAAGTAAAATTCAAAGATATAGAAAATATCCTTAAACTTGATTAATTAGTGCCTGAGATTAGGAATCTCTAAACACTGTATGGTACAGAAAATAAACTGGAAAATAAAAGACTGAAATTTAAAGTGGTGATCCCCAAATCTGACTTTGCTTTGTTGAAGTTGATTGAAGATGCCTTGCCAAATGATGATCCAAATCCTTAAATATTCTTTGAAGAAACTGTACTGAAAACCGTCGCCCGAACGGTTACAACGTCTCCTTCCCAACCGTCTTCCAACCCTTCTCCTGCTGACACGTGTCCTCAGCAGACCAAAATTATCCCTATATTTCACTCTTTGAGCCGACCACAGACCTTCCGCCCTTTTGGCCCGACTTCGTCCTTCGCCCGACCTGCTTCTTCGCCCGACCTCACTTGGGCCGACCTCCGCATCAGCCGCCCTCCGTCTTTGACCGAAGACCTCCGCGTCTGTCCGTACCTCTTCCTTGCCCGACCTTCCTCTTGACAGACCTCCGCGTCTGCCCGACTTCGCCTTCTATCCGATCTACGGTTTACCCGACCTGCGGACTTCCCATCCTGATGGCTTTCCGTCTTGAGGACCTACCGACCTGAAGACCTTCCGCCCTTTAGTCTTTCCGTCCTGAGGACTTCCCGACCTGAGGGCCTCCCGACCTGCGGACTTCCCGTCCTGATGACTTTCCGTCTTGAGGACCTCCCGACCTGAAGACCTTCCGACCTGAGGTCTTTCCGTCCTGAGGACTTTCCGTCTTGAGGACCTCCCGACCTGAAGACCTTCCGACCTAAAGTCTTTCCGTCCTGTATTTTCCTTGATTTCCACATGGTGTCCTTCAGCCAGTTCAATCAACTCTATTGCCAGGCCCATTCTTCTTTTTACCTTGGGCTTTTAACCTAATTCTAAATTTCGTACGTAACAACTTGCCCGCCGCCAAGGGACTTTCAAACGCCATTTAACAATCGATGTTTGGAAGTTCATAAATCACCACCCTCTTGAAAAATTCCCTTAGCAACTGCACCAGTTACCGCAACACTCCTGATTAACTTCCTTCTCCGCAATACGAGCTTTTGTGAATCACAATCCCAAAACACTCTAACCATGGCGAATCAATACATTCCTGCCCTTCCTTTCGACGGAACCCTCCCAGAGGGCCCGTTTTCAGCCTCGAAAGTACTAACTCCGACGATCCGCCCATATTGCACTACTCCTGAAGACTCAAATCGGATGAGGGAAGTTTTGGAATCCCGAAATTCCTTGGCTATCAACAACCCTAACTACCAAGCAGTCCGCATTCGAGATAGCATCAAAACCCATCTCACAGACCCAAAAGATCCTTACCGCTCTTGGTATCGACGGGTAGCAGAACACTTCCAGGCCCAATGGCGATCTCAAAAAATCGACCAAGCAATACTATTGTCCACCATGCCGATCAATCTGCACGAGAAGGTGCTCCTAGCCATGTCTGCCTTCTGGAATGCGGAAAATGGGACTTTTCTTCTACCATCGGGCCCCTTTGGTCCAACTCTTATGGATGTGGCAATGATCGCGCATCTCCCAGTCGTGGGTGAAGACCCTGTGATGGGAGCCCTAGATGGGCAGGAGCCATCAGAAGACCATCCAGGGTGGTCTTTACAAGGTGTGAAGGAATGGGGCTGGACAAAGTTCGCAACCGATCAGCAAGGGGCTCCAGGGACCCCCGTGACCGACTGGGAGCATACTGCTTTTATCCTTTTTTGGCTTTGTAGGTACGTCATTGTTTCCCCTTCCAAATGTGTTCTTCCTTCTCATCTCGACCTGGCCATTCATATCGCGTCAGGTCGGTTCTTTTCCCTTGGCACCCTGTTTTTAGCCAATCTGTTTGAAGGCCTCACCAGGGTTAGCCTTCGTTTAACAGATAATGATAATAGAAAATTAGATACTGCCGCATCGGGTCCTTTTTGGTTTTTAGAACTTTGGTTCCGTCTTTACTTCCCCAACGCTTTCAACTTAGGATCTCCGCCCACTATGCCAATATCCGAAAAACATTTGGGATTAGCCCTCAACCGACTCTGCTCAGGACGCAATAAACTCCAATCTTCCGATCCAATAATAACCACAATTTTAACAGATACCCGCAGTAACTCTCGATTTTCTATGTATAAAAAGTATGCGGGTTATGCTCCCGACCACTTTTGGCCCTTTCCGGCACCAAATCCTCTTCCGACTCCTGAGCCTTGTCCTCATCCCACCTATCCTTTTGCCTGGGACGTTGCCCTCAAACCCAGGTCTCTTTTTAGCAGCAAAAAACTTGATAAAAAAGGGCAGAAAACTTTTTGTACCTTTAATTATGAACCTCAATTCATGGCGCGCCAGTTCGGCTGTTGCCAAGGTATCCCTGGACCCGTCGCTTGTCCGCATATAATTTTTCAAAGTCCTGACCGACGAGTCCTACCTAATTCAATCCCTTCTTATATCTCCCAGCTCACCACGTATATAATTTCCAATTCTTATATTCCTTTCCGCTCCAACCCTGAGACTGTAGATACATTCAATGAATGGTGGTCGGTTGTATGGCCCCTGATTTCCCCTGATGAGGATCGGTTGCTGAACATACTCCTTCCCCCCCAAGGATTGGTTCTAGGGGCGGCTAGACATACTAGCACTCAGCAACAAACAGCCGCCCCGGGAATCGGATCTAGTGTTCCAATGCGAAAAAGGAAAGCTTCCCAGCTGCAAACACCCCCGACCTCTGGGGCCGACCAGCAAGCTCCAGCGGACTTTGGAACTACTAGGACGTCAGCAAGGACCCGACCCCGAATATGTAATTTTTCTTAAAACCGTGAACCAATTCACTATATCTTAACTTTGATTTCACTTATTTCATTCACCAGAACCGACCTTGGTGACACCGACCACACAAACGACGCCAGCCCCAGCCGACCATTCAATCGGACCTTTGGTCCAGACCAATTTGCCAATGAGCAGTCGGGCGGAGGACCCGACGAGGAGGCAAACCCTTCCTCCCGTACCGAGGAGTGGTCGGGCCAGGCACCCGACCAGGAGGCAATCCTTACCAGCAGTGCCTATAGAACCAGTAAGTTCTCTCATCAGCAATACTTAGGATTCTAATGATCAACCTTGATATATTTAACAACAACATTCCCATGATTTTTTACAGACACCTTCACCCATCGCATCAGCAGCAGGGGTCTCTTCAGACAGTGAGGGGACTACTTCCCAGATGGGTCGACCGCCATACATGGCATCAGACTCCTCCATTTCGAAGGAAGAACCAACTGCCCCTGCCGAAGCGGACCCCCACAACAACATCCCTGCTGCTGCTGATCCCGAAACAGTCCAATCGGATGCAGCCGCGCTGGGAACCGAAAGTGCCCCAGCTGCGGCTATCCCAGTTGCTCCAGAGATCCCGGCTGCAGTGGCTCTAGATGCAGCCGCCCAACCTGCAGCCGCCCAGCCAGCAGCGGCGTTACCTCCAGCAATCGAGTGGCAGGCAGAAGAACCACCTGTGGCAGCCCAACCTCCAGAAATAGAAGAAGTTTCTTCATCCGATTCGGAGACTTCTGTGAATTTGGTAAGATTAAACCAATCCATGCCATAATGTTTCTTTCGGAAAAACACTAACTGTTTTATATACTACTTTCCATAGGGACCCAGGTCGGCACCTCAGCGACCATTCGCAGCAGCCGACGAGTCGGCTGCTGTTATACCAGCTGTCCGCCCTACTCGACCGACCTCATTGCTGCCCCCCTCACTGACAGCAGTTCGCCCAGAGGTGACACATATCTTATCTGAATAAATTTGCACCTCCCTTGGAATACTTATTGACACTGTAAGACTTGCAGGGGCCTTCGGACTTAGCTATCCTATCGACTGTTCCGGTTCCAGCGGAGGCCCAAACAACATTCACTGAGGCCATTAACCATCCCCTGTCAGAATTAAGATCCGACTTATTGGACAAACTCATTCAGACGGTTGGTGGCCTTCTTTTTTACACTCCGACGGAATCGCCAGCCGTCCCCATTCTGCATCGGCTGATGGAAAGACTTACGGAGCTCAAGACTGAAGTGTTAGTTATTGGACTCCTGTCAGCCGAAACCCCCCAGCCTGTCTTCGATCAAACAACGCTGGAGAATTCTTTGGCTAAGACCCGAGAATCCCTTCAGCAGACTACTGGAAGGCTGGGCGGTCTCCTTAGCACGAAGGCTCAAGTTGATGAATCTATTCAGAAAAAGGAGGCAGAATTGCGGGAGCTAAGGAAAGAACAGTCTACCCTGGATAAGCAAATTACCAATTAGCAGCGTCTGCTTGAGAAGTATACAAAAAA